ATGAGCTGAAAGGATTTTTTTAAATGCAAGTGTTACTGAATTCAAAAAGGGACTTTTTATGAGTCTAAGAGGTGAAATAAAAATATAACTTGTGTACAGCTGAAACCATAAAATGTAAAGGTTCGTATTTTAATATAATCTAGGATATATGCTCCATGAAGCCATTCTGCTATTTTTTAATTTTTTGTAATATCTCCACATGTTAAATAAAAGTCTGAGTAAAATATTTAATACAAATTTTCCACTGAGGAAGTTTACTATATTACAAATCTTTACCTCAAGCTGATCTAATTAGTCCAGAACATAAGAATTTGTCTAAAAGTAAAATGAATAGGGCAGCACGGCAAAACAGTGGTTAACATTATTGGCTCACAGCAAGATGGTTGCAGTTTCGCTTTCAGGTCTTTCTGGGTGGAGTTTACACCTTCTCCTTGGCATGCATAAGTTCTTTCAGCTACTCCTGTTTCCTCCCACAGACCAAAAGCATGCATGTTAAGTTAATTGTCCCTAGTTGTTAGTGAGAATATGAATTGTTTGTCTTTTTGTCATGGGCCCCTGTGAAGGACTTGCAACCTGTCCTGGTCCAGGGTGTGCCCCGCCTCTCACACAATGACTGCTGGAGGTAAACACCAGCTCAACCCCCATGACCCAGACGTGAAAAAGTGGATAAAGAAAAGGGCATGAAGAGAGAATCAAATGGGACCAAATTCAGAACCCTGTTGAACACCATGAAGAGCTCTTGAATATGGGGAGTAAACACCATGAACATGTCGAAACTGTCAGATAAATTACTTAAACCAGTCCAAAGCAGCACCCTGATTTTGGTGATGTGTTCAAGTCCTTGCAGAAAAATATTGTAAATTCTTGTGTGAAGGGCTGAAAACCTACCACACCAACAAAGACAGTATCAGGAAATCAGGAGTTAACGTGTCAGTAGACATTTCATATACACTGATACGACATCAAAAAGACTTCCACAAGAAGTCTCGGCTGTTCCTTGGGCATTTCATGCAGGCCAAACAGAGGGTTTGTGCACACGCACGCACATACACACACACACACACACACAACAAACCAGCGTGGTTAAATGATTTGAGTGACAACAGTGTTGTTTGCTGAAGTGATCTGCTAGAAGAGTAAATGTGAGAGATTACTGATAAATCACTGTTGCTAAGCTCTGATGTAATGTAGCCTTCAACAAGACACTGTCGAACAAGCAACTACTGCTGTATTTTTTGGACTATAAGGTGCACCGGATTATAAGGCACATTAAGTGAAACTAAACAGTCAAATAAGTCAAACTTTATTCAACTCATTCACAATAACCACAAAAAATCGTTTAGAGGTCAGTAAGCACAACCGGAAATAATACATAAGGCGCACCAGATTATAAGACTCACTGTCAATTTTTTAGAAAATTAAAGGATTTTAAGTTTGCCTTATTGTCCAAAAAATATGGTATATAACAACCAACATTTGGACCGATGCTTTTCTCTTATATTGAATGGGATGCTGGTCCAGTCCTGTATATGTGTTAAATTATCTCATCATGCTGATTACCATTCTTTACATTTTTTTTAATTTATAGTTCCTTCCCTGCATCTTAGATCTTTGTTGTAAGGTAGCTATGCTGTGAATTACACCGAGGTGTTTTACAGTGCTCACATCTGAGTGCAGAGTCTGCACCAGAATTAATCAAACAGTCCAGTTCCTTGGCTGGGAAGTTGGTGTCTAATAAAGCTTTGGATTAGTTGTATGTATTTTGTGTTTGCTATGGTTCAATTTTCAAAACATGAGAAAAGTTGTTTAGCTGAATATTTTATGAGGTGTCCGAGGACATGACTGAATACAATAATTTTAAACAGTAGGATAAATAGAGATGGTAAACATGGATTAATAAAATAAATGCAAGTTATAGCATTATGATACTTATTACATCAATTGCCATCTTTTATTGCATCATTAAATCTTTTCTAAAGTTAACATGCTGTCAATTAGATTTTCCATATTTCCTTGAGGAAACTCCTTAGAATAAAAGCTTCTGTTTGCTCTTTTAGGTAAACACAAGTAAAGCTTTTCTTTTAAATAAAAGTCACAACCAGACTTGGGTTATTTTAGTATCAGTTTGAAATGTGTAAAAGATAAGTTTGTGTTCAGGCATTTTGGGTTTAAATATAAACTTTCACATGACAAAGTGTTTAAAACGATCTCAATATTATTTTCAACTCATTAATGCATATATTTATTTTTGCTCTGCATTTTTAGTCCTTATTCATATTTCTTTGTCCGAGCTTTGTTTAAAATGTTTATACAATCTATTTACACACTGTATAGACATTTATATTACCCCATAATGTTTTGTGTTTTATGTTGAACAATTGATTTATTGAATGATTGTACTTCATATTGTTCCAAATTAATATGTCCTCTTTTGATTATCAGCATAATTGGTATTAAATGTGGTCTGGGATTTAAAGGCCTGTATGACAAAGACACATTTAATCCTCAAAGATTATTTCAGAAACAGTCATGTACATGGTGCAAGCATTGTGAGAAATTATCTATTGAAAATGACATTTGTAATGTTTTTGGAGATACTAAATTAGAAATCACAGAGCTATTGTTCTGCACTACCACTCTGCCTGGGAACATGTTTTATTGTCTAACTGAGATGGAGCTCTTTGAAGTCTGAAAATGTAATTTTGTAAGTGTCATCAGCACGGCTTTGACTTGAAAGAGAGAAAAAAAAAGTGAGTTCAAAAGATGGTTACCTGGCAGGGATGTCACAGGATCTAAAGAAGCTGGAACTGATGTTTGATATCTCTGGCGAAAATTTGTCATACACACAAAACACAGAATCAATGGACTATATATATATATATATATATATATATATATATATATATATTTATATACACAAACACCCAACACTCAGTATTTTTTATTGTTTTATGCTACTGTGTTTTTTATGATTACCGTACCTTACATTTTTTATGGTTGTTGTGGGGTTTATATCTTAAATTGTCTTATTTGTTTATCTTTTTTTGAAGGGGGGACACCATTGACACTTCCTATCAGTCTCAATGTGATTGTTTTAACTTCCTGTTGCATTTATGTCTCATAATAGATTTTTAGATGCTGTTGTGCATTAACAACCTTTCTCAATGTGAACATTTCAAATCTCTCATTTTGCTTAGTGTTTAATTTAACATCTCTTTCTTTCGTTCTCGCTTTATATTTTAGCTTTAGCTGTTTGAGGCATTTTCTGACATGTCATTCTGACATGCGTAACCAATGTGTTGTTTTTTTTTTAAACAAAGAGGAGCATCTGATTAACATCTCAAAAGCTCAAATACCTCAACTACAGCCCCAAATCTCAAATAAGTTGAAAAGGAGGCACCGTGAACGAATTCCCATCAACCTGGCAATGGTGCTTGAGTACCTCACTGCCGAGATCCTGGAGCTGGTGGGAAACTCGGCTGGTGGGAAACTTGGCTCGTGACAACGGGATGACCAGGATCATCCCCCAGCACCTTCAGCTGTCTGTCCATGGCGACAAGGAGCTTGGCAGATTGCTGGGAGGAGTGGCCATCGCTCAGGGAGGAATTCTACCTGGTATTCAGCCAGTCCTGCTGCCCAAAAGGACCGAGAGGCCTGCCGGATCTGACAGCTAGCTGGATCAGGGTGGACAGATCAGTATCAGTGGCCAGATTCTTCAGATTTGCTGCAGGAGATCCTTCCTGTCCACAATCATCAGCATCTATAACAACTCTTGAATGAAACCAGGATAATGAGCTATGACAACACTTAATTTCCCTTTGGAATTAATAAAGTATTTTTGAATTGAATTTGAATTTGATGCATATAAATTAGATTAAATGAAGAAAATAATGAGACAGCTACATTGCCATTAGAATATGTTTTAGTTGTGGTATGCTTTGAGAAATCGTATGATCTTAAACCATCATAATACCAAATGCATGCAGTGAAACCTACAATGTCTGTGTGTTTTGCCTTGTTTGAATATGCAGGTACACATTGAAAGCTCATGAAGACCAGTCATAACAATAAGAATAAGAATAAGAACAAGAATAAGTTACGAAACAAAAGGCACATTATTTTTCTCATGTTGATGTCATGTATCCTTACGTCAAAGATTTCAAAGCCAAATTTATGAATGGCTGCCAGCTAACATACATTTATTTACAGAAAGAGCTAAAGTGACCACAATGATAAAATTGTGTAATATATATATATATATATATATATATATATTATTTTTTAAATACCAATTTATTTTCCTTTGTTATTCTCAATTTGTATGCATCCTTTTATGATTGTCTATTGTTGTCTTCGTTGTCATCACTCTTTGTTTAAATCAGGTCTCTCTTGTAAATGAGTCCTTGAGGCTCAGTGGGATTAACCGGTATATAAAAAAGTTGAATGAATGAATGTATGTACAGTATTTGGACGTTTACTTATTTAGAATCTAGCAAAGGTGTTGCAGCACCCTGCACACCCCTACTTCCCACAACTCTGTGGCTGAGTGGTTAGAGCAGTTGTCCTCCAATGCAAGATTTGCGGGTTCAAATCCACCAGCAGTCACATGCAGAAGTGTCCCTGGGCAAGACAATGAACCCCTTATTACCTCTGATGTGTGTCCCATCAATGTATGAACGTGATAAAGCTCTGAATAGTCTCTTTAGAATGATTTGTTCAATTAGCTTTGAGGAGATCTAGTAAAGTGCTGTATGAACGGGTAAATGAGGCACAGATTTTAGTGTAAAGTTCTTTGAGTATCTGGACAAGAAAGGTGCTATAAAAGTGCAGTCCATTTACCATTTATATATATATATATATATATATATATATTTTTTTTTTTTTTTGTCAGAGTTTACACTTTTAAGAAGCCTGTTATCAGGAGCCCCCCCCCCCCCCCCGGTCTCTGCGTGCTTGTGTAGCTCTGACGTTATACCTCGGCGTATCCCGCCGGGGAGGGTGGGAACAAGGGCGGCGCAGACTCTGACTATAATGCAGAGAGCCTGGGAACACATCTCCCCCTCTTCGCTCGGAGCTTCGTCGAGTGCTGACCGCAAAGTGTTTCGGGCCGGGAAAACTATTTTCAAAAATAAAACAACAACATGGCTGGATATTTGAAAGTCCTCAGCTCTCTGTCGAGGTCTACCGGCGCCGCTTTCTCCAGAAATCCCGCAGTGCTCGCGCCGGCTGCCAACTGCCAGACTTTACAACAAAGAAACTGTGAGTGGATTAAAAAATAGAGATACCGGGGGGGGGGGGGGGGGTCACCATCAGCATCATGTGTTGACGAATAACCGCAGCTTCACCCAGTATCGTGTTGACTAATGTGGCACGTATTGAAACGACGCGGTGTCAGAGTGAATTAAGAGCGGCTGAATGAGTCAGCCTGTCGAAGCCGGGTGACACGGCGCTAACTAACCGCCATGCTGGTCTGACGTACCGCAGCTTCAGCGGCGTAAGGCCTGCGATGCTCCAAACGCCCGGCTCAATGTCCGCTACGCAGCTAGCCGGCTACAGGCCGTTCATGCGATGAAGAGGAGGCTGTGTCAGCCGGTAAAGACGAAGGTCAGGGCAGGAGACAGCCGTCTTTATGTGAAAATATGCGGCAGTGTAAATGAATGAAACGCAGGTCTGAATAAATTAATAGAGGGTCCTTACGTGCTTTTTACGTAACATTAGAAATGTGCGCAAATCAGGTTACGAGACGAGGAAGTGATGGTTTTCTTTTTTTTTAGGCTGATTGCGGAAATTTCATTGCTTGTCAGTCCTTCACGAGCTGCTCATGGGATGCTGATTTGTTACTGATGAAACTTGGAAAAAAAAGTTTTCTCAAGGTCAGCTGCTGCTGACGAGAGCCCGTTACAGAGAGCAATGGCTGCCGGAGCTCAGGACGTCATCCACAGAGCAGCGTCTCTGACTCCAGTTTGAGCAACTCTTACTACATGTGGCGAGTTGCTCTGACGTCTACAACAAACTACAACAAAATGTGAACTATTTTAGCAGGAGGGAGGCCTTTATCTATGTTTATCATTCAGATATTTTGAAATATGTGACATCTGCAGACATTTGTGCTTTAAATCCTTTTGAACCAGGCTAACACCTCCAGATGATCACCATAAGAGTATATGTGATGTTTAGGGGAGTTTGCTCAACTGTGATTTAAAAAAAAATAATCTGTGTAACATTTGAACTGTTGTGTACCTAGCTGACGGTGATTGAACTGAAGAATGTGTCAGATAACTGTTTGAGCTGGAGTGAGGAAAAGATCTTTACGGCGTTTGAGATATGTGATTAAACCGTCATCCTGTTTTAAATTTAATGACCGTTCCTTTGCATAAAAGTGTGATTAGGTATGGATTACCATTGAGCAAATAAGGGAGCTTGAAGGCTTTAGGTGCATGCAGATGGTAAAGCCTGCACACCCAAAAAGTGATGGAGAAATCTGAGCATTTGAGTCTGGAAGAGGATTAAAATTTTTAAGATTGTGTAGGAAGTATGTTATCTTAATTGACTGAAATCTTGAGCCATGTATGAGTTTATTAGAGTGTTTATTGGTGTGTTTTATTGTTTGCGCATGTAGCAGTAGCAGCTCTTTATCAGTGGCTGTAAAACAACCTGGGCGGTTCGATGTAGTGCAAAGATGAGGCATTATTACACCCGTCGGCTCAGATCGAACATATTTTTGTAATTACTCTGGTTTCTTGTGATTTGTGTGGCCGAGCAGTTCATTAACTAACCTTTTTTATCTCTTGCCGACATTTTACCTGAAAGCTGTTCTGTTGACCTCGTGGGTCACTTCTTGGAATGGGATTAAAACTAAACGTGGCTTAATGCCCATCCTGAAAGGTAACTTGAGAGAATGCACATGCTTGTGCGTGACCTGGAAACGAACCTCTTCGCCTCAGCACATTTCAGTTTGAAAGTTTGTTGCAGGTTTTGCTGCAATTGAAGGATACTGAAAGTTGAACGGCAAGCATACACAGATTATTTTGTTTGCTTCATTCCTTTACAGTATGATTATTTTTCACCCCGTGGAAGCAAGTTCTGATTTTCCTACTTAAATTACTGGGATATTTAAATTTAGAAAGAAAGCTAATGTACATTTGACCCACTTTCTAGACAATGCAGTTATTAAAGTCACATGTATTTAATATTATTAATGATGTAGTGCATTTTCAAATCACTTGTATTTCAATTTAAGATCATTTATTTACTAATGGTAATTTCTGGCTTTGGCTCAAGCTACTAACGGGCAGCACGAGTCTCGCAGACGTGCTCGCTTAGTGCATGTGCAAATAGTTCAGCAGGTAGGCGCACATGACTTGGTTACAGCTCGCCCTTCACAATCCACTTTCAGGAGTTATGTAACCGGCTCAGCTCCTTCCCCCTCCCGCTGCACACTCGGCCGTGGCAGATTTACACTGAAAGACTTGCTCTCTACGACTTACCCACAATGCACTGTGGTTCACACTGCTGTTCTTCAAACAGCTGAACAAATAGTCACAAACGTGAAAAGGAAAATCTAGTTTACAGTCTTGTCAAAATGCTGGATTTTTATGAAGTAACATTTATCACACATTACATATTTTAATACTAATAGCAGTATGATATAATATGGTGTTTTGATTGTAAGAATTAAGCTGAGAGTCAACGTTTGCATCATTGTAAAGTGCACATTACTGCCAGCAAGAACCCTTTTTCTTTTTAGCAGTTTCCACAAAAAGTTTTTCCAAAGAAAAGCAGCACGTTGAGAACTTTTGTCATTTTATTTGTACGGTCATGCTTGTTTCACTGTTACTGGACTCTTAACTCGTGTCACTTTTGAAGATGTAACATTTTGTAAATTGTGTTTGCTAACAAAATAATCCTCGTGGTGTTCTTTTCCACATGGGGCATTTTCCCCAAGATAAATTGCGGTGCGTGGATGATTTCAGGTTAACGGTTGTGTTAAAGCCGTCTGACTAAGCAGCACAGAGCGGTTTGACACTTTTTTGTCCTTTGGTCTTTAAATAGCTTGCCTGGATTCTCCTTTGTGCAACACGGAGGGTGCAGCTGTTTTTTCAGTGAGGTTATTTTCAGTTCATGGTCACCATGTGGTCGACAAGACTCGTGTTTTACGTTTGGGACAAGAGCCGAATCTGTTTGGATTGGTGTTACTTTAAATGGCTTCACAAACACGCAGACTTCTGGGGTTTGAATAAAAAAAAGAGGGAATTGGTTGTGTAGCATTTCCACAGAACACCTTATGTTTTATTTGTGTTGCTCTTGGTGGCTTTAGTAGTTGTACAAGAGAGGTTCAATTGGGCTGGGAAATCCAAGAGTCACTTGATCCTCCGCACCTCCCCCGGCACTTTCAATTCACTGAAATTGTCCTGCTGGCAGGATTGTCACACACTGAGCAGACTCAGAGTTCATCCTGGTCCAAGAGGAAGACAAGAGACAAGAGTACTTAAACCGAAACTACACATGGTGAATATAAAAGTTGAAACCTCTTAAGAGTTCCCTGATATGCTGATGTAAGAAGGTCTTTGGTCCACACAACAAATTCACCTTTAAATGCAAGACGTTTATCATTTCATAAAAAATAATGACTTGCAAATGTTTACGTCCGTGTGTGTTAAACTGAGGAATGAGTTGATCAACTGTATTTGTTTCGTGCACAGAGTTGAATCTTTGTGTCCTCTCACAGATGCTGACAAACGCATCAAAGTGGCCAACCCGGTGGTGGAGATGGACGGAGACGAGATGACCAGGATCATCTGGGAGTTCATTAAAGAAAAGGTGACTGAGTGACAGTTCCTTTAAAAGCGTTATTCACTCGGTCAGAGAAAACACACAAGTGGCCTCCTAGACAGCAGCGCAGTGATTTACTTCATATGCTCAAAGTCGGAGATGCTAATTCCTGTCTCTGTCCCTTTAGCTCATCCTGTCTAATGTTGATGTGGATCTGAAATATTACGACTTGGGTCTGCCGTACCGTGACCAGACTGATGACCAGGTCACCATCGACTCCGCCCTCGCTACCAAGAAGTACAATGTGGCCGTCAAATGTGCCACCATCACACCTGACGAAGCTAGAGTGGAAGGTCTTTAACAAATCTTTTAACTGCTCGTCCTACATTTTGTATCAACTTACACAGTGCAGAGTTTTATGAACCGAGTTCTTCAGACTGCAACATTACAAATTAAACATCCAGTAGTTCTGGTTAGTCCTCGGAAGAAAACGGAACCAAAATCAAAGTTTTTTTTTCTTGTTAATATTCTCATAGCATCCTTTTACTGCCTGTTTATGTGGTGTCATGAGTTACATGCTGCACTGTCACAGTACTTGTTCAGCTTGAATCAAACCAAAACTAAAGCTTCTAATGTAGATTATTTGTAAATCTGCACATTAGGTTTTAGTATAATGGCTGCTGGTGCACTTCACTTCCTGGGCAGTTACATTGTTTGCATGCTGCATTGGCCTTTTTCTCGCTAATGGTAAAACAATGTGGGAAAGTGTGTAAAAATGAACGTGTAGTTAAAGAAAGAAGTTCAAGTTGCATTGTTCTCAACCTCTGCTGGAATGGTTTTAAGATAAGAACTTTATTGATTCGGCAATAAAGTTCTTATCTTATCTTACAACTTTTTTTGTTGTGGTATGAGGAGATAAAGTAGAACGTGTTTACAGTAAGAGATTTTGAAAAACATGCATTGTGTGTGTTTGCAGAACTATATTCAGTAAAAAAAAAAAAAATACTATGATTTTTTTCTGATGCATGCTGTCTCATTATGAGAATCAGTCGGTTCCTACACAGAACTGACTGAAACAGGCGAGACTGATCATTTTGCCTATTCTGTAAGGTATGAAGCGTAACACCTGAAACTTAACTTAAGATTTGATAAGCCTGGCATTTAGTGGAGAAACTGCATTACGACAGATCTCATTTTTTATTTTGTTTTACATTTAACCTTGGGGTTATTTACATTAAGCATATTAGAAATCCTAATAAATGTTTTTATTGAGTTATATTTCAGATGAACTGCCCCAAAGTAAAAACGTCTGACACTTGTTTATGGCATTACTTGTAAGAACCAACCATCTCAAATCTGTTTTAAAAACCTCATAGTGCACGCATTGATCACACTGATGGCTGCGACGCTCCTCTGAGCTTAATATCATTTTTACACGCAGAGTTTGGCCTAAAGAAGATGTGGAAGAGCCCCAACGGCACCATCAGGAACATCCTGGGAGGCACCGTGTTCCGTGAGCCAATCGTCTGCAAGAACATTCCCAGGCTTGTTCCAGGTTGGACGCAGCCCATCACGATTGGGAGACACGCCTTTGGCGATCAGGTGGGTCTGAACACTGAGGAGCATGCGGCTGAAAAGACTACAGTGAGGCCAACATAGTTTCAGGAGTGTCCTCCTCAAGCTGACCCTTCTTTGTTCTTCTACAGTACAGAGCCACAGACTTTGTCGTCGACCAACCCGGCAAATTCAAGATCGTATTTTCGCCTGCTGATGGAAGTAAAAGCAAGGAATGGGAGGTCTTTGACTTCCCCGCTGGTGGCTGTGGAATGGGCATGTACAACACAGATGAGGTGAGCAAACACTTTGTAACTAAGGTTGATTTAAAAAAAAAAAAAGATTTGTATATTTGTTAATGTTCGCAAAACTTTGGTCCCAAGGCCTTTGAGCCAGTTTTACAGCAACGTTTTCATTCTTTAGTACTGATTTCACAATATCCAAATAACTCTTTTTGCAAATATCTGAAGATTAAAATACATATATAATTGTTTCCCATATTTTCCATTTCTACAGAGGTTTGAAGTGTCTAAATGTTCCTTCTTTGAGACTGCTGTGCATAAAGTTGACTTAGTGCTGTTTTCATTCTGCAAGGTGTTTGGTCAAATTTACACAGCACACATGGTGGCAGGCCAGCTACTCTGTCGGCCCGCTTCTCTACTGTTATGTTTGCTTTTGTCAACTCGGCCTGTTTGATGTAACAACATCAGAGGTCATTGTAGATGACTTCCATCTCAACAAGGGGAAGGTTGTTAAACCTTTTACAACTGATAAAACCCACGAAAGTCATGAACTGTTTGCCTTCTCTCTCCACCAGTCTATTACAGGCTTTGCACACAGCTGCTTCCAGTACGCCATCGCCAAGAAGTGGCCCCTCTACCTGAGCACGAAGAACACCATTCTTAAAGCCTATGATGGCAGGTTTAAAGACATTTTCCAGGATATCTTTGAAAAGTGAGTCTTCTCTGCAATTGTTTAATGGGTTTTCACAAACATACCTTTGTGATCAGTGTCGTGTAAAGGACAAATTGACAAAAATAATTCCTTTCTCTTAACCCCACAGAAATTATAAGCCAGAGTTTGACAAGCTGAAGATCTGGTATGAGCACAGGCTTATTGATGACATGGTTGCCCAAGTGTTGAAGTCCTCCGGAGCTTTTGTTTGGGCTTGCAAGAACTATGATGGAGATGTTCAGTCTGATATTCTCGCACAAGGTAAGCTACTGGGAAAATAACCTGCTTGTTTTTATAAAATGATCCTGTAATAAAACCTAAAATTACATAAGGGTGCTTACCAGTTTTGTAAGGCTTCTGTAAGTTTTACTAAAGGCATTTGTTTTGCTGTTGTAGGTTTTGGCTCTTTGGGGCTGATGACTTCAGTTCTCGTGTGTCCTGATGGCAAGACGATTGAGGCTGAGGCGGCCCACGGCACCGTGACCAGGCACTATCGTGAGCACCAGAAGGTTTGAAACCATCAGTCTTTGTCAGCCACACAGCTCTATGTAGAAAAAAAAAAATCAGCTGAGAGGTGGGAGAGAAAATGTGATCACGTGTCTACTGTCTAACTGTGGAGCTGTACTGCCATCGTGTGGTAGAAATATAGTATGACACCTGTGTCTAAAACTTGTAGTCGATAGATCCTTCACTTTGCAATTTAAAAGTAATAATGGATTATTAATTCAACATGACAGCCTTTTGTTCTCTATATCCTCAGGGAAGACCGACCAGCACCAACCCCATCGCAAGTATTTTTGCCTGGACCAGGGGCCTGGAGCATCGAGGCAAACTCGACGGCAACCCTGACCTTATAAAGTAAGAGCTGTAAAAGTATTTGTAAAAACACATCACCGTCGATGAGCATGGCCTAAAACGTCAAATGTGTTGTTGTTTTTGCAGGTTCTCACAGACTCTAGAGAGGGTGTGTGTTGAGACGGTTGAGAGCGGCATCATGACGAAGGACCTCGCAGGCTGCATCCACGGCTTGTCCAAGTAAGTTCATTTTAACGTTCGTGCCAACTTTTACGAAAAATAAGTTTGTCTAAATGTTTCACTGTAGGTTTTAGTTCAGCTTATCTGTGCTGTGTTTAGCTTGTCCCATTTTCAATGACTTTGAGAGAGTGTCAAATGATAAAACGTTAATGTCCAAGTTACTATGAATTTACACGGTTTACCCAACAGGCTCCTGGAAGGCCTTAAGATGCATCATATGTACTGTTGTGATGTGAAATGAAAATAACCCTAACCCTGGTCACACAGTCAAAACTTCTTCTTTTTAACAAAAATATAAAACCATTTCAACTATGAGAACAGGTTGCGAAACATCTGACATGCATGCAAACACAATAATAATGTCCAAACGGAAAGAAAAATTCAGGACCACAGAGAGACGAATGCAGTTGTCCGATGTTGCCAAACAAACAAAAACTCAGATGTTGGCATTAAATATTTTTAACACACTCACTTGTTGGTTGAATAATAAACATAACGTTGTTTTTTTTTTGTTTGTTTTTTTATGTAAAAATGGGTGTCGTTTTCCTCAGTCTGGCAATTCTTTAGAACTAGGTTGAAGATAATTCAATTTAGCTTGAATTATTTTTGTGGTCATTCTGTAAGTAGTTTTACAAGATTTTAAAGCCCAAACAGAAGACATGCGTCCAATAAATCAAGCATTAATCTTCAGACACATTGGTTTACTCTGGAGTCTGTCAATGTAAATTATGAGACGCTGAAACGATGAAATCTATTCCTATTGATCAGAGATCCCTTCAAACATTATAGAAATATTACTAATGACATCTAGAAAAAGCTCAAATATTTTGGTGTGAGTAGAAAAACAAGATAAGTTCCTTGTTTTCACTCGGGCTTGAACCCCAATCCCCCCACGCAAGTCCAGTTAAGCTAACCATTATGCTACAGAAAACCTTCAAAGATTTTGAAAGGTGTGGGAAACACTTCAGCTTTTGTGCCTGTAAATTTTGAGAAACTCCTGCCAGTGAAACCCAACTGGAGGCAACGCCAACCCAAACCCTCCCAGTCTGATTCTCTACACTTTGAGAAGTTCTTTTAGTGAAATTCCACACGTTTGTCCCTCAAACCTTCGAGACTGATTTTATGTCGCTAAAGCAGACACGATTATGTTCTCGACTCTTCTCACTGATTGTTAAAGCAGCAGCTCAGAGGAACATCTGGCTGCTGATAGTTGGGACGAGGTCTGAGGAGTCTTTTTCGTTACCTGGTTGGTTGACTGGTTTGTTTTAACTGGTGAAATCAAACAAGAGATTTTGCATGTGGACAGCTTCATCTTTATTTGTACAGAAGGCAACTAAACCTCTCGACTCATGAATATGCTTCCCCTTCTCATCTGAAAGACTTCTTCATTTCTGCACCTTTTAAACGAGAAGTGAAACCTCTTCAGTCCAGTTGTCTTCTGGACACAGATTACCACGACCTGATGACTGAGAATCTGTTTTTCATGCTTTGTAGTAGCTACCATCTCTTAGGATGCACATCATTTAATTTGCCTAATTTACTCCTTACAGTTGTTATGATCCAGATGTTCTTGTGCAGTTGTATGAATAAAGAAAAATATAGAATAACTGAGTGAAACGTCGGACTGGTTCAAAACTAGGTCATGTGCAGAGTTGTGGTACATAAACATATTGCACTTAAGACGATGATGATGGCAGCTTCCAAAAATGCTGTTTTTTACCATTTACAGAAAACAAATTGCACCTCTGGGTTTTTTTTGAGTGTTTTTGTTCTAAACCAATAACTTTTTTTTTTTTTTTTTTACGAACTCAAAACATGTCGTCTTGACATCTAGGAAATGGGGACATCCATTTTTTTTCCCCCTGCTGGCAAACATTTCATAATAAACCATTAATTTAAAACTATAATTAATCATATAAAAGCTCATTAGATTGAGTCCTGGTTTGAAAAATGTGTCCATTTAGTTCCTGGAGCATCTTTTATGTTTTGGGACATTAAGCTTATAATGACATCCCCCGAAAAGATGAGGTTTAGTACTTCCACTGAACGAGTTCTTACTTTTTTATTTTTAAACAGCAATGCTTCTTTTTATTGACTAGCGATACTGAAGGTGTTGTTGGTTTTATCTGGTCAGCTTGTGATGAACGTTGGGAACTAATGTGGCTGGCAGCCCTAACTATGAGGTCACGTTAGCGTATTTTATTAACTCTACCAAATACATTTTATCTTCAATTGTTTCTCACAAGTTGTCCCTGACGTGCAACTCTTTTGAATACAGCACGATAGAAATATCTACATTTGAGATTTTGGAGCGTTCCTTCGTAAAATAATAAACATACGTTGTAGTTAAAAGATAAAATTTCTTATTTTTAATGCATCTTTTCTTTTGTGATTTAAAAAAAAAAAAAAAAAGAAAATTGTTCATTCATATCAAATTACAGAGCAGGTATGACTTGCTTTTATATTTTTGGTTGCCATTTTTACAATACTTCATGTCTTTAAAAAGCCTTGATTGTGAGTATGTTTTTTTTTTTCTTCGTTGTTTATTTACCGTTTAGTTTTTTTTTTAACCAGGTTATATTTGTGTGTACTTTTAATTTGAACAAAACCTGTTTGATCATTCAATTTGGACCACAAAGCCGCAAGCTAAATACGATCTAAGGCCTAAACCATGTTCAGTAACAAAACACTACAAAATGCCGTGTCTTAGGTTTTGACCAGTGCCCTGAGACGACCTCTGTTGTGATTTGGTGCTATGTAAACAAACTGAGTTGAACTGGAGTTGTAACAAGTAATGTTTTGTTGCCGACTGCAGCTGGACTTAAAGCTGAATGCAGAAATGGTTTCCCTTGTGCGTTATTAAATCGTCTGATCTGATCTTCTTTGTCTCGTCTTTTTAGCGTGAAGCTCAACGAGCATTATGTGAACACCACGGACTTCCTCGACACCATCAAGTCAAACCTGGATAAAGCCCTCGGCAAGTGAAGGACTTGAAACAACACTGAGACGACTGTGGCACTCGTTTTGTTTTTGTACCTCATTTTTAACTTTAAAGGTCAATAAATCCACGTTCATTTCAACTAAAGGAGTAAGCTGTCTATAGGAATACGTAGTTTATTTTTAGGATATCAAATGGTTCTCCTTCCACCTTGTGCCCCCTTAATCTACGTGTCCCATTAAGTGCAAGCTTTTATTTTTGTAAATTGTACCATAATCAGTACTGTGTAACGCCTCGAGCAAAGACTGGGGCCGTGTCAAACCTACATGGCAATAAATTGTGTTTGACCTCATTTTTGTGTTTTGTGTCACTATTTTTGGATAAATTATGAATACAACTCCAAAGATTAAAGGTAAATAAATTTATTTTTTCACAATATCGTCTGGTACACAACGTTATACATACAGTTCTGTTCATATTTTCACACGTACGTCTAATACAGATGTTTTTCTCCTTTGTATCGTCACTGAAATATTGACGGTGTGAACACAAAGCTGAAAAAAAAAACTCACAAAACTGAGCACTTTATTTTCAATGCATTATATCAACATTGCAAATGGATACCTTGTTTTCAAGTAACAAGTTTGAAAAAGCTAAGCAGTGGAAAACTGAATATATTGAGCATTTCCAAATCATTTTCCGCAGAGTCCACGGCCCTGTCACATGTTGGGAGGTTGTCGTTCATCACTTGAGACCAGAGTACAGCATGATGGATAGCATGCTCTCGCAGACACACTGGGGCACTTAATATTTCTGTCTTGAGTTTTTTGGGACAATGCTTGGTGAGATTCATCCATAACAAACAAACAAAAAAAAAAACGTATGAATGCAGGGTTTTGAAAACACTGCAGTGGAGACTTGAACCAGGGAAAATAACAGGAAAAAGGGGCGCTGCACCACCGTGGTAATCTTTAAAAAAAGATCTACAGAAGGTAAACCTGAATAGGATTTCATGAGGTCTGTGATTGAATCCTAAGAAATTCAATGTCCAAACAAGACGGCGAGGAAAGGGGATGGACGGCGCCCGTGTAGCTGCAGGATTTGATCAACTTCTTTGGTAAAACCATTAAAAAGGGGCGTTTAAATTTTCTTGTCTGTGTCTGAAAACATTCTACAGAAACGGATACATTCATAGACCGAAGATCAATACAGAGTGACGTTTGTTAATGCAGAACGGTAAGAAGTAGACACAGTGGTCCTTTTAGTGCAACGCACTGATTACAGCACCAGTCGATATACAAGAGGACTGATACGCTCTGTACAACAATTTACAATAAAGCACTGGTTGAAAGCTAAATTGAATTTAAGTCATTTTGCAGAGCTTAAATTTTCACAGTATAAATCAAAGTGAGTTGACCTTTTGGTAGGTTTTAGCAGGTGACAGAATACTTTCCCTTAACTCTTTACATCGATGAACCCAGCAGACAGGAAAAAAAACAGGATTATCTGAAGTGCAGTGAGACATGCAGTTCTTGATAAAAAAAATTTAAAAAAAAAAAGTGCTTTCATTTTAGGGCTCAGATGAAAATGTTAACGGGATAATCCAGATCTTTTATAGTTGGGTTTTGTTGAAAGGTCGACCTTACCTGTAGTGTTTCTCCATGAACAGCCTAAGCTTCGTTATGTAAATAATAATATAATGTGAAATTGACTGTGTTGTGAACTTTTATAAAATAATACAGTATGGCCTTGGTCCTGATGGGACTAACCATTAGCTCGTCCGTCCAGTCAAATTTAAATTATATTTTTCCAAACTTAGGTCACTCATCTTCAACAAGTGAGATTTTGGTTATAACCTTTCAACAGAACCCCACTACAAAAGTAGTGAACTATGCCCTTAAGCAACTGATTTAAAAACTTGTACAGTAGTCCCTCGATTATCGCAGAGGTTACGTTCCACACACACCCCGCCACCACCATGCGATAGGCGAAAAACTGCACAGTAGGAACGCAAAATTTTAGTATTTATATATATATTAAGGCTTTGTATGCCCTACCCACACTCTTGAAATGTTTTACTCTTGAACATGTCATTTTAACAACATACGTATATGTACTGTACAGTACTGCCAAAATTTTACTCACCAGCTCTGCAGAACAGCTGCACGGTTCCGGTTCTGCAGACCTACCCTGCAGAGATGAAGCCCACCGCCCCGTCCAGGTTGATGTGTGCGTGGATAATTGAGCTTCAGGAAGCTTCAGGATTATTTGTGACTTTCCTGCCAGTTCTGTGAGCTGAAGTGCTAGCATAGATTTGTGTTGCAAAACTTTCCCTCCGTTTCGGCAGAAAGCAGCAGCCGGAAGCACTGTTGGCTTCTGGGTAGCGTAGTTTTGACTGGCGATACAGTGTAGGCTTAATGAAAGAAAGCTACAAAATGGCAGCACCTGTCAGAAGTATTTTGTTGTTAACATTTTATCTCGTACGGCCCCAATCATGTGAGTAATATTAAAGTTGACAATCGTTGAAAAACCGCAAGAGTGAGTCTACGAAAGTCGAACCGCGAAGTAGCGAGGGACTACTGTATCTTATACTGCACATTTAAATAAAATAAGCAAATTTGCATTGCTTTTTAATAACACCATGATTCAGATTTAAAAAAAATGTACGATTCACATCTTGAAGCCTTACGAGCGATTCCAGTGCATACTGATGTGCAATTTACTGGGTGGTCTCATGTTATTTTAGCAAGGGGTCCAAGCTCTATGCCAAAACAACAGCAACAAAACAAAATCCTTGTTTGTTTACGCTTGTATTCACTTTAACTCTTTATGTCGTACTAAAGCGCCCTGCACTCTTCCCATAGGTGTTGTAGTACTCCACTTGAGATAGTTTGGCTACGTCTGGCGTGTTGTTGTTGTTAGCACGGTTTTCTCGCTCGCTGAATTCAAAACTCTCCTCTTCAAAGTCCTCCTGCCCTTCTGTCTCTTGGGGAGGCTCTGATAAAGAAAGGGAAGATACAAAGATGATCCCACGCTGCCCTCAATAACGCACACACACACACACACACACACAGATCTCCTAAAGACATATGGCCACATTGAGGACAGCTCGTAGGTGCCCCCCACGCCACTGATAGAGACAGGCATGTCTAATCCAGGCTATATTTACTAAACACATGGGAAGAGACTGACAGAAACATCAAAATAGTTGGCCACTGGATCTACAGTACACGCTGAGTCAAAGCGCATTAGGGACAGTCCGACTGACAATTATGTGACATTAAACCCTCAGAGCAGCCACCACCCCCCCAACTTGGAAATTTGCCACAGATAACCCATTGTCAGATTTAACCTCCGTCTGTGTCAAAGCCGTCTAATCAGGACAAGGGACGAAGTTTCTCACCATGTCCATCTATTGTGGTGTCCATGATGCCGTGTTTAACCTTCATGTGCCTGCTCAGGTTGCCCTTCAGGTTGAACTTGCTGGTGCAGTAAGGACACTTGAAGGGCTTGCTGCCAGCGTGGAGGTGCATGTGGCCGAGGAGGTTGTACATTCTGTTGAACGACTTCCCGCACACCTGAGAGAGGAACGATCATAGTAAGTACCACAATAGGATCCCATAAAGATATCCCTCCTTTGCTTACAACGCACCTTGCATTTGAACGGCTTGACAGGAAGGTGGACAATCATGTGTGTTTTCAGGGTCTGCTTTTGGACGAAGGTCTTGAAGCAGATGTGGCACTGGAAGGGCCTTACGCTGGCGTGGATCAACATGTGTCTCTTCAGGTTGGCAGACAGGGTGAACTCTCTGGCGCAAACGTCACACTTGAATTCTTTCATACCCTGGGGAACACAAAAAGTGTTTGGAGTCCTTTAATTAGTGTGTCCTTTAATTAGGAGTGTTTGAGAGGAAATTTAAAAAAAAAGAGTCATGAAGGAGCTTGCATGTGTTTGAATGTTTGCACTTTGGCATTCAATCCAACTCATGTGGAGTGTGTGTATAAAGAAAATGTAGTCCAACATTGTGTGAACAATGAACTCTTATAGAAGTTTTTATTCTATTTTTATGTTCATCTTCAACAGTGCATTGTAAATAAAAGCATTTTGTCCTATAGAATAAGAAGAAGCTATGTGATGAGAGATGATTCATCAGACATGAAGGGGAGAGGCTTTGCAGACAAAACAAACACGTGAGTTGGGGGTGGGGTTGAGCCACACAAAAACTCCAGGCCTTTGAACACTGTGTTTACAAAGCAACTCGTTTTAGAGAAAAGCTTGTGATGCAAGAGCACCATTTACCACAATTTTTTCCCTTGTAGTTTCTTACAACAGGCTCTGGGAAGATGACATTAGTATGCCTTTTTTATTCTAAATCCCTTGGACATTTGTGTGCTGAATAGTTTTCTTTTTTAAAGACTAGTGATCTACAGCAGCAGAAGGTTTGTCTGCTCTGAAAAGGAAAATACACATCTATAGTTTGCAGTATCTTTGGTGAAAGAGTGAGTGAGCTGCCAGTACCTTGTGAGTGAGGGCGTGCTGACGAAGGTGGTGGATCTGCACAAACTCCATCCCGCACTCTGGACAAACATATGGCCGCACGTTTTGGTGCTTCATCAAGTGGTTCTGCAGCTGGCTCCGATAGGCGAAGGACTTGTTACACTCTGTGCACTGGTATGTCGTAGGGCCCTGATGACTGGTTAAATGACGCTTCAGGTGGGCGTAAGTTGGGAACTCAAGACCACATTGGGTGCAGACGTGGCACTGGCCATTCTCGTGCTTATTCTCATGAGTTCTTAATTCGCTGGGGTAGGCAAAGCCTCGGCCACAGAAGCGACAGCTGTAGGGCTTGACGTCCGTATGCTGCAGCATGTGCCTCTTCAGGTGGCTGGTCTGCGTGAACGCTTTCTCACAAACCGTACACTTGTGAGGTCGAGTTCCCTGATGGGTGAGCAGGTGAGTCTGGAGGTGACTTGGCTGTTTGAAAAGCTTCCCGCAGTGTATACATTCATGGGGCTTAATTCCATTGTGGCCCAGGATGTGTGTGACAAGATTGTATTTAGATGTGTAAGACTTCTCACACATGCGGCACTTCCAGCGTTTCAGACCCTCTCCCACGTCCACGCAGTAAGACTCATCGATTTGAACATTGATGTCCAGTCTGTCGATCTGCATTCGTCTGGCAAGCCCCTCTGGGTCAGACCACAGCATGGCCTGGCCATTCTCCTCATATTCTCCTGGCATCGCCATATCGGCAGACTCATAAGTTGCTTCATTGGAATCATAATACCGGTTCTCCAGAGAACTTGTTGTTTCTGTGCTTGTCTTGAGGTTTAGTGCTTCCTCCTCCTGTTCCTCCACCACTGATTCTTCTTCCTTCCTCTCTTTCTCGCTAACAGGGCCGTCTTCTTGACCCTGTTTTGTATGTCCATCTGCTTGTGGCTTGGATGTACATCTCACACAAGATGTACAGTTTCCGCACATCTGTTCCTCTTTCAGAGAACTTTGCTGGGTCACTGGATTCTCTGACTTGCTGGGACTTTGCCTACTGTTCACATGTGCACAGGAAGGAGGGCTGTCAGACTCAAGTCTTTCTCCTTTAACCTGAGCCTGTGGAGCAGGTTCTTTGTGCGGGAGAGAATCACCAGAGTCTTCTACAGTCCTCAGCCTCTTGGGTTTTCCACGGGGCCCGGGCCGTCTTCTCTCACTGCAGTGGGGCTCGGGATCCCCAGCAGGCTCAGCCAGGTAGTCCCCATTGGCCCCTATCAGTTGGTCAGCATACTCGTACTCCACTGACTCAGGTGGTGGAGGGGGACACTCTTTGGGCTCCCCTGTGTAAAAGCCGTTTGGAGCAATGGTGGCCCCGAATATTTCATTCTGGGAGATGAGGCCAAGAACAGCCGCCTGAGCCAGAGATAGCACCACCACAGGCTCCGTTTGTGTGCCCACATCCACATGGCTCTCAGTCATCTTTGGGTAGGTTCTCTCCAAGCAGCCACTATTTTCCTCCTAAGAACGCACATACACACAGCAGAAGTCATAAATATCATAAATAAACTTGAAGGATATCTGTAACTGTCCTTACACTTGCCCACTGAATATTTTTTTTAATAATATCATATCATTTTATTCTAATACCTTGATCATCTAGTAATATTTTTTTTGTTTGTTTTCAAGGATGGGCAGCATGGTGGTGCAGTTGTTAAGAGCTGCTGCCTCTCAGCAAGCAGGGTACCCCGGTTCAAATCCCGGTCCGGGAGCCATTCTGGGTGGAGTTTGCATGTTCTCTCCGTGCATGCGTGGATTTTCTCTGGGTACTCCAGTTTCCTCCCATAGACCAAAAACATGCACGTTAGGCTGATTGGTAACTCTAAATTGTCTCTAGGTGTGAGTGAGAGTGAATAGTTGTTTGTCTCATTTGTCTCTGTGTCCCTGTGATGGAATGGAGACCTGTCCAGGGTGTCCCCTGCCTCTCACACAGTGATTGCTGGACATGGTCACCAGTGATCCCCGCGATATAAAAGGAAGAAGCAGGTAAAGATAATCGATGGATGGCTGGATGGATGGAGTTTTCCAGGATGACAGAAGCTTCGTCTTCGTTCCTTGGAATTCATGAAAATAATAATGTTGTTTTTTTAGGGTTTTTTTCCAGCGATGTCTGTATTCAGACTATGCCTTGCATCTTCGCTCTGAATCCACTGAACATTAGATTGAGGAGATAACACAGATCTGTGTTTGTGCATGGCTTCCTTCCTTGTTGGGCTTTAGAATAATAAAAAGAGCCCAACAAGGGATGCAGGTTCAGTCAGGAAGCTGACTTCCGTGGACTGTCCTTGACACTTCCTGTGGGGTTCTGGGACAGCCAGGCTGACCATAGTCAAGCCCATCACTGAGGGCAATCTTGCTCATTCATAAAAAGTATCTTGACTTCCTAATACCTACAAAACTGGGCTACTTTACCAAGATGAAACAGGCTGGTAGGCTTTTTAATATCCATGACAGACTGTATTTTGTATTCCAGACAAATGCAAAAGACTCGATTGTATAATTCGGAAGTGTTTCAGAAGCTTGTGTTCACCCTGCTGCGTGCAAAGGAGGAATAGCAAAACTGTGGGGAAGAGATTGTGGTAGAACCAAACTGGTCCTGCAAGGCAAAGGAGAAGTGAGTATTGCATGCCACCGATTTCAGATTATTTCACAGTGTGGATCCGACTGGTTGGGAAAATGCATGTGGCAAGTTCTGACCCTGTACTTTCTTTTAAAGACAGGACTCACTCTGCCATGTAAGAAAAAGCTGCTTCCTCTCCTGACACAATACTGAGAAAAGAAAAGAGTAGGGGAAGAGGAGATAGGGTGGGGGGTAAAGGTGTGTGTGTGTGAGTGTGTGTATGTGTGTGCATGAGAGAGGGGAGTAGACCTGGATGCCCTGATAACCACGTCATTTATAATTACTGCTTTTAAAGTAGTCAGACAGAGACAGACTGTGTGTTTGTGAGAAAGAAAAAGGAAAGAGACTGGGTGTGTGTGTTTGAAAGCATGTGCGTGTGTGTGAAAGAAAAGAGAGGGAGGGAGGGAGGTATGAAGGGAAGGAGAAAGAGCTGTGGGCGGGGGAGGAGGGAGACAGAGAGAGAAATGAGATGGAGGGGCTGAAAGATAAAGAAAGAAGGGGAGGGGAGGGAAGGGGAACGAGAGATTGAGTGAGCATGTGAGAGGAGTGAAGAGAGAGAGGAAAAGAAGAGGGTGTGTATGTGACAGTGAGTGTGTGTGTGTGTGTGTGTGGGGGGGCATCTAAAGAAAGACAGAGTAAAAGAGAAAGAGGTGAAGGAAGGAGGAGGAATGGGGGGGGGGGGGGGGGGGAGCTGTGGAGAGAAGAAAAAGCAGAGCAAAATGAAAGGCTGACAAAAATGAAAGAGAAAAAAGACAAATGACAAGCAGAGAGAGAGAAGGTGGAGTAATTACTGCGAGAGTGTGCGTACACTTTCACATTTAAAGTTGTGACTGAAAGGCACCTGAGGACAAACAATTAGAGCCGGGAGACGTGCAGGAACAGAGATGTTCCCACTGCAGCACCATGAGACAAGTCCTCTCCCTCCTTCACTCCTCTAACTTCAACATGGACATAAAAAACAAATGGAAAAACTCACGAACAAACTGTTAAACAAAGTACCCCCAAAAAAACATGAAGAGGAACATCTGCTTTAACACCCCCCCGAACCAAAACAACAAACAAACCGAAACTCACCACATTATTCCTGGAGTGATGCTTGAGGTGTTTCAGGGATCTCATCCTTCAGGAGAAATGAGTGGAGTAAAAAAATCCTCCTCCTATTTATATCTGTGAGAGCGTGGGGGGCGGGGCCACGGCTCATCCTCCTCCTACTGTTGCTGTTATCAGAACTGACTGTGCCTGCCCCCTCCCTCAACAAACACACACACACGTGCACACAAACACACACACACACACACAAGCATCACCCCATTTCTTTCTCTTCAACCCACCCTCTCCATCTCACTTCTTTTTCTCTCCTGTTTTTTTTTTAATAAACACACATCTTATCTCCCTCTCACTACATGACCCTTCAGCACACATTTCTCTTTTTTTCTGCTCTATCTTTTCTTAATCACACTTTGCATCGCTTTTTTTTTAACGCACAAACAAGTATTTAAAATCTAATCAGAAGTTCCTCTCTGCACATTCAGATAAGAAGATGGAAAATAAAACATCTCCAACCGCTCACACAACATACTGTACATGTCTGGGTGGAGGTGAGTGTCAGAACAAACAGATAATGACTGAGAAATCCTCAAACGTGTAACTTTCTGGGTAGAGTGAAGAGTTTGCTTCAATTGTTTCACAATTCAAACTAATTGAGGCAGCATAAAGTGAAAAAAGTGACGAAAAATAAAGAAAAGAGAGGAGAGCAGTTGGGAGGGAGATACATGGGGGAGAAGAAAGAATAAGGAAGAAAGAACAGGGGGGAGTGGAGGAAGCAAGCAAGAGTGTGGAGGAGAGAGAAAGAAAAAGAGAGAGAGAAAGAAAAGAGAACTGAGTGGGGGAGGGAAGAAGAGAATGCATCAAAAAAGGAAGAAGAAGAAGGGAAAGGAGAACTAGTAGAGGAAGAGGAGGAGGAGGAGAGGGAGGGGAGGAGGCAAGGGATGTGGTGAAAGACACAGAGAAAGAAAGATGGAGCGGGGGGGGGGGGGGGGGGGGGGAGGGAAAAAAAAAAGGGGGGGGGGGGGGAAAAAAAAAAAAAAAGGTAAGAAAAGGGGGGGGGGGGGGGGGGGGGGGGGGGGGGGGGGGGGGGGAGCAAAGTGAATGGAGAGAAGAAGGGAGATATAGAGAAACAGAGTGAGTGAGGAAAATGGAAAAAAAAAGAAAAACAAGAGAAGACATTAACTATTGAACTTCCAGGTTTGTTTCAGAAACAGCAGCTAGGCTGAGAACGGGCTGTGTGCTTTAAAGTGCTCACCACTGAACACCCCCCCCCCCCCCTCAATAATTAGACAGGTATTTTCTCCTAACTCACCTTTAACAAGTAAACACACACGCGTGTGGAAGTGAAGAAGATGTGAGGTGGAGGTGCACAACAAGCCCAGCGTGGACACATGCCAGTCGTGAAACTGTGCATAAACATTTCCTCCTAAATAACAGGAAAGGGCAAACCTTGAAAACCTTGATCAATCATCAGCAGCTGGGAGTGCTGCGAGAATGAGAAAGATAGAGAGAAGGGGGGAGGGATGGAGGAGGAGGAGGGAGAGATAGGGAATGAGAGTGAGCACGAAGGATAGGGAGGGAGAGGAAAGAGAAAGAGATTGAGTGAGGGTGTGAGTGAGAGGGGGGAGAGAGAGAGATAGCAGGAAGTCGAGGGAGAGAAAACAGAAGGAGAGCAAGGCGAAGAAACAAAGAGATAAGAGGCAGAAAGACAAAGAAACCACATGGAAGAAACAACAAGGGACACGTACATAAAACAACACAGAAGCAGCCTATGGGGAAAATGAAAAAGACACAGACAACAAAAGTTTGGGGGAAGAAATGCTCTGGCTTCTTGCAGGCCCAAATCTTGAAATAAAAATAGTGAAAACTTCTTTGCTTGTCCATTTATTTACTCTCAGTCCATTTGCATGAGACTTGAAAACACATGTGTACGGCGATGTTAGGCGTAAGATTTATTTAACTACAAATGAGAGACAGAGGGAGGAGTAAGTTACTTTGTGATTGTTCTGTTTGGAATCACAGGTCCAAGACATTGATGACCTCAGCACCCACTTCCAGACAGGCCCGCTCGGACGCTGTTTATCTATAGGACGAGCCAACGCAGCGCAGTGTCACATCCTCTCTGTGATGTAGGTCAAAGTTAGAACTTATTGTTTCCAGCAAGAGGGGAAAAAAAGAGAACAAGTCAAGGAGACGGAGAGCTGGAGCGAGGGGTGTGTGTGTGTGTGTGTGTGGTGGTGCAACAGATTCAGATATCAGCTGTCTGTTTTTACTCCGGAGACATCTCAATGAAACTGCAGAAGACATATTGATAACTCCTGGTTTTCTTCTTGGTGAGGTCAAAACATTTTCATGTTTTGATAAATTCACACAGGGACACTGTGGCACCTGCAGAAATATTTTAATGTGGTGACCAATAACCAGAGACCAGAACAAGAATTTCAGAAAATCTGTGATGTCGGACAACAATGTCCAAGCTTTGGCAACATGAGCGTTAAGGAATTACCTCAGTTTCATATTGTGCAGGTTGTATTACTGATGATGTGACACAAACCAGAACAGAGAACTCCTGGAGGCAGACCAATTTTAACATGTTCTGTATCTTTAAATACTTTACATACACACTAAGTGCTATAAACAAGTGGTTCTCAAACTGGGGTCTCTGGACCCCTGGGGGTCTGCGAGCCGGTGCTTGGGGGGGGGGCACAAAAATAAAATAAAATAAATACTGTATATATGTATGTATGTATGTATGTATGTATATATATGTTTATATGTATATATAAATGTATGTATGTATGTATGTAT